AGTGGGTCAAGCTGGTCGAGCATTGGCAAAGCCCGGAGGGCGGAAAGTGGAGGATGAAACCCCATCGGGGATGACGACCGGTATCCGACAATTTACGGACGTCCGGTGAAACTGATTTCGAGGCGACAGAAATTACTTGTTCTGGAAATCGCGGTGGTCTCCATCTCCTTTTCTATGCCGAGCATCGACGAGTTTCCTCTCGTTCTCTCGATTTCATCGGCTCGAGGACAGAGACCCTCTTTTACGCTCGCGTCTTTTTAGCGACGAGCGAGCCTCGGGGGTGTCGTACGAGTCGCTTCTCGGCACAGCATCGAATCTCGTTCCCTGCGAATCGGGAATTGTGCTCGCGGTATTGGTTCCTGGAAGGAGAAGCGCTTCCCCGATAGAGTCGAGTCGTCGTGGCTTTCGAGGATCGTATCGATCGACGCGAAACCGGCCACGATTTCGACGTAATATTTCAATGTTGCGCGCAAGCAGATGCCGGAGAAACGCGGTGTGAAAAGTTATCGAGCGATCGCGTTACCGAGGTCGATCGGTGAAAAATTACTCGCCAGGGCTAGAAGCGACTAAGCCGGAAACGAATCGATCTCGATCAGTCCCCGAACACGGTAGTTTGAGCCAGTCGGCGATTTAGGCAAGCCGGTTAATTCGATCTTTTGTCGAACGATCGAACGCTCTGCCCGACCAGCAATTTCAGCTGCTCGCTACGTTCGGTAAATTCGCTCGACAACTCCGCACGTTCGATGCATTTTCGTATACACCATCGACCAGTCAAATTACTCGACTATTCGCAGACGCTTAATCGATAATGACCCTGTAGAATTTATCGGTCGACAACGTTAACCGCGTTAATATCTTTGGAACAAAAGAGGCTGGTGTACGGCGTGGGCGACGATATTGGGAAAGCGTTTCCCCGGATACTTTTCAACTATTTGTGTATCGCTTTCAAACGAGACCATCCGAGAGTTGGCTGTGTCGAAATCTCGTAGAAAGCCCTATCCAAGTTTGATCGCGCCTGGCGCCACGTATTTGCGTGCGCGAGCAACATTTTCCGATCTCCGAGTCGGAAGCCCGTTGGTTGGCGTACGTTTCCGGCCGGACGAAAGATAAGAATAGAAAGAAAGTAAGGCGTGGTAGCACGAACGAGTCCAATAAGAAAAGGACTAGCACGGGGGTGCGCTTGAGGGATCGTAGCAAACGGGAAGGGTGTGCGCGGTACTTGCGGTAATTTGCTGAAAGAACGTTGCCGGTGAAACTTTTTCTCCATCCGAAAAGTGGACAAACTTTCGTCGTTGCGCTGCCGGTGATAGTATACGGCAAGATAAAACGATGGCTGTTAAACACGATGTTCGATCGTGTTTTGATTACGTATTTACCATCGAGATAAATCCGTCGTTGGGAATATTGGTATTTGCGCGACAAGATTCGGAATGAAACTTCGCCTCGACTTCGGTCTCGACGTCGCGTATTCCACAATTTTTCATGCATCGAATCTATCGCGACTCCTCGATTGACGCGTTTCAATCGAATGCTCTAACTGGCAGAAATGGTGTTTGATCGAATGCGCGCGATGGAGAGGAAGAAAACGAGTGAGTATGGCTTCGGGAGGCGAAGAAAGAAAAACGGGTCCGGTGTAATTCGATTATCCGCACGAAAAGTGCGAGGCGTTGTTATACGAGGCGGTAATTCGAAGCGATCCCTTCTACCATACCCTCTTTCTCTCGCTATGCCATGTTGAAAGCAATTCTCGATGTAATTTAATCGACTGCCGATAGACGACAATGCCGGTCCTAATCTAAAATTGCTTTTCGAGGGGTTCGCGACACCCTTGACAGGCCTTTATCGGTGTCACGTGGTTTTGAGACTCCTTTGCGCGTGCTTCTTTCTTTTTCCACCGTAGCATTCGGAAGGAACAACGGAAAATAGAGAAAAGAAAGGGAATATCGCGGGATGGCGTTGCAGCGAAATTTATGGATGCGTTGCAAATCCGCGCGACGAGTATTTCACGGATATGTTTTCGTTTCGCGTAAAAATGCTAAAAATTACTTGGCAGCGCGACGTTACGACGTGCAGTTATCCCTGACACTTTTGGAACCTCGCATCTCGTTATCGTTTAAAGAACACCTTCGTGCTTCGAGCCGGCTACGTATCCTCCGTTCCTATACAATATCGATGCGACCAGGGGCTTCGAAGTTAACGAGCGTAGCTTGCGCAACCTCCCGGAACCTCTTACGAGAGATTTACATGGATGCCGATGTAACCTGGACTAGGCATACCCCGTTGATGTAGCACCTTAAATAATCAAACGATAGGGGTCGATACTGTTAGCTAAAGCGACCAATTCCGGGAACAACAGCCTGAATAATTTCTAGTCAGCCATTAGACCGGCATAGGTAATTACTCGTTAAGGTACGCGTACTTGTCTCCCACCGCCTTTCTTTCTTTCCCTTATCGACTCGCATGCTGCGCGGAGCTTCGTCAAAACACTTTAACGATGCCGGCGATAGATGACGCGGAGTTTCCACACAGCTTACGATTTTCCTTTCGGCTATCGAACCGTACCGCTGTTAAGCGCACTGCAAACACGACGCGACGGAACCAGGAGTAATGCAGCCTGGCAAGACGACGCGCGGATTTCGCTAATCGGTAATCGCGACGAAACTCCGTGGTGGAAAGCGAACGCGACAGAAATAATAGGTTTGGGAAAGATGGGGCACGTTATTTTACGTTTACGTTTAGCTCGCGTCAAGTTTCCACAAGAAACGACATTCGAGTCGAGGTAACATCGATTAATGTGTAAAGGGGTGTACAGGAGTTGATCGATCATCGCCGATAATAAAGAGCTTCCGTCGGGGTGAAACGGTCGTTTGAAAGCGCGCATAGACGCGCGTGTCCTACTTAATTAACGGACCGCTCTTCGTATCGCGAGTTGCGAGATTCGAGTATCTCGTCGATGACGCGTCAACGATACCGCGTGCGGTTGATGCGCGTTCCCGGTACCAACATATCTCGCAAGTAAATCTCATCTCGTTTTGAAAAATGAATAACACGTTCGAGCACGGTAGCTCGCGGAAGGATCAGAAACGTAGACAAAGATCAATTAAATAGCCACAGTTTCCTCGCAAGACGTTTCTCCGCAAGCTTGATCGTGCGCGTTCAGGCCCTGAAGCGATATCGTCAATTCGTATCAAATGTATTCGCTCGTCGCTACGCCTCCGGCCTACAGGAACGTGGAATTTGGGTCAGATGGCATCTTGTAATAAGCCCGCGCGTTCAGGCCCTGAAGCGTTATCATCAATTCGTATTAAGTGTATCCGCTCGTCGCTACGCCTCCGGCCAATAGGAACGTGGCGTCGCGGTTAGCTAGAAACGGTCATTTACCTCTCGGTGGCGATAGAAACACCTGGACGCCGAATTTCCACTGCCAATAACTTTCGGGCTTATTATTGCCGTAAACATTAGGTACGGGTGTCTAGGTATACGAAGCGAGCGACGCGAGACCGTTGACCTCCGAATTGTCAACGGGTCGCTGCAAAATCACCCGAATCTCGAATAGCAGCGTTCTGGAGACCGATAGAAAAATGACGACTAGTCAGCGCCGAAATGATTGTGGAAATTGCGAGTCCAACAGCATACATGGCGAACAATAAAATGATTATCAGCTGAAATTAATTAAATTAATCGCTTAGGTTTATCGGCAAAATGGAATTTGGGTGAGATGGCATCCGCTAATAAGCTCGCGCGTTAATAGGCTTACTTCGGGGATACAGCCATGCTGTGATGCACGATAGGATGACGTTCCGTATCTCTCGGGCCAGATTACCAGCGTACTTGAAAGCTTATATGTGAGATCACGCACCATGGATCTTTCCGGATATGAAGCCAACCCGGTTTCACGAGTCGGTCGGTACCCCTTAATCGAGTTTAAGGTACACCGCGTTCCTGACTTCCGTGCCCGTGTGTCGTCGTACAGTTCAAGTGTCGGCGGTATCTTTTCGAATATGAAAAATGTTTAAATGACCGCGAATCGTACGTCGCATAGTTTCGACAACGTTTCTTTTCGACGAGAAAGTTTGTACTCGTAATCGATGGCACGTTGTCGACCAGATGTTTTACTTACTATAATCGCAGAGCCAGTTTATCGATCACGAGTCGACTCCGACTTGGAGGTTAAGGGTCGATGGTCGATGGTCGATGGTCGATGGTTTATCGGGCAAAGTCCTTGCGGTCGACGACGCGTTAATTCCGCAAGCATAATGCATACCGCCCTTGCACCTGCGAGAGAGTACACGATGCCAAGGAGAATCTGTAACGTCTATTATTCCCGTTAACGTTGTTCAACGCTTACCACCGGAACATTTTCCGGAAAATTAATCGCAGCGAGAAGGACGAGTTCTCGAACTGCAGAGCTTTCCTTAAGCTTGCGATCTCGAAGATACATCGGAGACGTTAATACCGCCACCTACGCGATAGAGTTAAGGATGAATGGAGTAGTTTAAAGAGAAACCGAAAGAGCGCATTCCTCGAAAACTTGCAGTTTACGAGTTCTCCTGTAACAGCGATTTCGACGAACCAACTCTTTGAACGTCTTTAAAACGGATTTCTTTGGAACGCTGAGATTATCGTTAATCGTGAAAATGCCGCCAGATTCACCGCAAACGGAGCAATTGAGCGCTTTGTGCAACTCGTGAGATAGCGAGGGACGTTATCTCGTTTGCAAACAGTTGATCCTCGTTATTCGATGAAACGCCTCAAAGAAACGTACGAAATTGTTATTTATCTCGAACTCTTTGACCAACTTTTGAATTCTTTACTTGGTTGTTTTTAATTCTCGGTCGACTCTATCGCAGACTATAGACTTTTATAGACGAACTAGAGTTTGGTTAAAGCAGGAATCGGTTAACTTGGCATGAAAAGTAAACAACTTTAATAATATGTTCAATAGTTGAACGATTCATCGACTCGTCGATTATTTCTCACGATCTGATGTTACATTGCAGCCTGATCCATCGAGACACTAGACCGGAGCCGGCGATACGGTGTTCGACGTTGAGAGGAGCGACGAGACTGCCATCGGCGCCGGATCATCGCAGCGAGGCACGGCTGAGAACAGATCCGAAGGTGTTGGTCTTCGTGGAAACGCTGTACTCTATGTTGGGGAAAAACATAGCAGAGCTGCTCGTCTCTAATCGAATCAAGTAAGCGTAGAGCTGACTAACGATAGATATCGTCTCGTGTGCGTTTCCGTGCTCGCGATAACAGATTGCACGTCAGCTCTTTGCGGCGCAACCTTGCACGAGGAATTTACATTTACGACGCGCGATATGTGCTTTATCGGAAATTATCGACATATACTCGTGGCGCCTATTCTTTTCAATCCGTTTCCCGATCAAATTCATACCAACTACTTAACAAGTGCTTAACCGTTTGGATGTATCGGATGATATCGATCGAGAGTCAACCTCTCGTCCGCACCCCCATTTTTCTGTCCTTCCGTTCCGTCGTTATTTTTTTAGTATACCCCTATCTCGGTCCGGTAGTAATGCAGTCTGCGCCACGACACTCGTTACTCGTGACATCGACACGGTCGAGGGTGGTGGGTCGGACAGAGGGTAAGCGTTCCACGGCCGTCGCCAGGGGTGGAACGCCGATCGACCCTCTCTTCCGCATATTTTTTCATTGCACGCGCGCCAGAGTTTCATTCCCGCGAGCCTTTCTTCTCGTCTCTGGTGTTCTCTTCGACGCGTCCCTCCTCTACCGCGAATCGTTGCAATTCGCGCGTACGCTTCGGCCCGAAGGGAAACGAAAAAGAATACACGGTGATCACCGAGATATAGAATGGATGCCTGGCGATGCTCGAGCCTCGTCAGAGTCGGATGTTTGCGATTTAGAGAAGAAAGACGCGGACGAGAAGACTCGGAGAAGGCAACAGCCCTTCGAAGGCAACTAAACCTCTCGTCTAAAAGTTTCCGGACTCTGAAAACGAGTGCGTGTCATCCGATCAGGGATTTCTGCAAGATCGGTAAACCCTCCCGAGTCGAGCGGCGCGGAAAGTCATTAGGTGCGTCAACCCCTATTCATTCCTATTTCACGGCGACGGTGACCGTAGCTTCATAAATACGCGACATTTCATACGTACCGACACAATGCCGACACCGACGCCGACGCCGACGCCGACGCCGACGCCTCTCCGTGACGTTTGTTCGTGACCAACGCGAGAGACATGACGTACGAGCGACAGCGGTCGGACTTGGCGGATTTCCGTTCGAAATAAATATGTATCTGCTGGTCCAGTTTCCGACGTCACGCAACAGCCATACGGCTCGGAAATATGGTTTGTTTTTGAAATTTCTTCCTTTTTCTCGTAGCTTTTGGTTCGCTCAACCATGCGCGCCAAGAACAAGGAATTTGCGAAACGGCGAAAATGTATCGGTCCATTTCTCCAGTACGATCCTCGTCAGGAAATCAACAAATAATGCTAGGCTGTGTTTCCTCCGATAATATTTACCTACGGAGAGCGTTGATCGTGAACGAAGATTACAGGTTAACCGGACAAAGACGCGATCGACGAGTACAAGTTTTATCGCGAGTGGCGGAAAATAACGCGTATGTATTGCCTAGGGTCGCTGTCGATTAAACCGAAAACCAGAAACATTGTATCCACCGATAGGTTAATCAGGATCGAGGCAAATTACGGGAGAACGTCGAGCGGATTAGGGTCCCGCCTTGCCAATTAGAGGCCGTATTTTAAACTAATTCGGAGACCAGCCGGCCGAATAACGCGCCCCGTGGTTTTCACCTAATTATCTCGACGAGTTGGCAGTCGGTTCGAGTAACTGGAAAAGTCGTGTAGCGAGTTGTTCGCGTTTTTGTCGCCCCGAACGTTTCCGATTTGCCTTCGTAATTTGGCGACGTAAATGAAAACGAGATCGACAACTATTAATAATCCCGAGAAGACGACGCTGACGGAGGTTACCTCGAAAGCGAAAAAATAGAGAAACAATTACGACGCAGCGTACACGAGAAAGAGGCCGGAAAGAGAGAGATTCGTCTCTCCTCGGCAGGGGAACCGAAATTGATGGAATCCACTCTACGAGGCCGAGCACCGTAATAGTTATCGCCACTCTCGATTACACCTATCCCGGTACTGAGCCATTCGTTCGTGAAATCCTTGGTTCGCTCGTGTTCGCAATCAGCTTTGCTTCCTCGTTTTTTACATTTTTCCGTCGATAGCCCCTCGTAACGCGATATGGGTCGATCCATCCGCGGTGCCTCTCGAACGGCTGATACGATATCGGTGTACGGCAAGCGTATTCGAGGCGACCGGACTTGGACATACGCGGGTAGAACACCTTGGACGAATCCAAGATCGAAGAGCGTTCGATAAAGGAGTTTGTGTTCGCTTTTCCGTGTAACCGAGTGCGTGTGTTTCAACGCTCGATTATTCGGAATGCCCGGAGAATTTCCACCGTATTGGCTCCATTGTCGCCTTCTGTGTATCGTCTGGTTCTCCTTTCTTCGTCCGTGTTCCTTTGTAAAACGTCTCGACGTAGTTTCCCGTTGGCGGAATTTCGCGACAGAAGGATCCTTGAGACGTCTCACGGACCAAGACGGCTTAATTGTCTGCACGTTTCGCGAAACTTACTCGCGTTTACGCGTTCTCCGTCGCGACGACGAGCCCGTGCGAGGAAATCGCGTAATTAATGCGCCTCCGATACGGCCGCGTCGTCGTTCCGGCTTCTATCCTTTCCGTTTCGAACCAAGATCCTCCCGGCCCCGGGAATGCGGAAGACAGATAATTTCGAACTTGTATCTCGTCTATGGCTTTCGGGAAGCGTTAACGGTGCCGGGTTAACGGAGAACTTTGGTTGATTCGACGAGAAAGCTGATATTCTCGTTTATTCTGCTGATTTTTTGCTTTACAACGAGAGAAAAAACAGCCAACCGAAAGAAACGTAATAAAAGATGAGGCATATAAAAAGTGTAATAAAAGCGAAACAACTAGAGCGAAATTTCGAAGGGAAGAAGTAGCCTCGCGGCTTACTCGAGGATAATTGTTGGAGCGCAAAACGGCCATTTCGAAGGGTTTTTCGCTCGTAAAATGCCACCGAAACAGAGGCGGTGCTGGTGGCTCGAATGGTTGACGGTATCGCGAAACAAAGGATGTCGCGGTATCTAGAAAACTGGCCAACCACTCCGCGAAACGCTGCTTTTCCTCGCCTTCACCAACTCGGATTAGAACTCGTTCTCATCGCGAGGGCGCCTAAATGGAGCAGGAAGCGTCGCGATGTCGAAAATGGCGATAAACGAGACCGCAACTGAGGTCTTATTCGAAAGAGAGCACAAGAGCTACGATACGGTCCGAAAAAAGATGTAAAAACGTTCTCCGTTCTCCGTTCTCCGTTCTCCGTTCTCGAAGAAATTGTTGGAGCATCGAACGGCACCGTAAGCCGAACAAGGTTGAAGACGTTAACCGTTAACCGTTTTTTCGACGTATTATCTCGTTTGCGACTTGGAAGGCACCGGACCCTCTTCGACGTCGATCGACTTCAAAGGCCATTTGCAACGAAGAGGAATCGAGAAGGCTCGTGAGAATCGGAAGTAAAGGAGATCAAGGCGACGGGAAGCACGAGAAATTCATAAAGCCTTTCTTAAGCCGGTACGGCGGAACATGAGTCGGTGACCTTTTCGCGTCGAAACGATCTCCGCCTTGGCCTCGAGAGGATTCTGCTGCTCCAAGTTCGTTTGGTGGCAGACGATGCCATGGCATGGCGTGGTATGGCGTGGTATGGCGTGGTGTGGCGTGGCGTGGCGTGGCATGGTCGAGAGTTCAAAGCTCTCACTCTCCCTACCCGCTCAACCCCCGCGAGCATCGACGTCGAATATTATCCTCTTTTTGCTCGACTATATCCCGCCCTGGAACCTCCTCCGACCTCGCCACTTCCGAGTGGCCCTCTTATCGACCCCCGTTCGATGCTCCGACCAACTCACCCTCGCGTGCCTACGTTCCCGAGCTTTCGCGACGCTTTGTCTTTGACTAAAGACCAGCGAGCTACCCTCGGGAATAACTCGAGATAACGGCAATTGTCCGTAACAACAATTGGGAATATAAATCGAACGACGGAGACATCGCCGCGACGAGATTTACTTTGGCCAAACCGAGGACAACGACTCGATCGGAAGATAAACGGAACGTTGAAAGGTTTTATTTTTCGAGGGATTGATCACTGTGACGCTTTCGATAAATTCGATGCGGTTAAGTAAGCTGCGATCAAAGTTCAGTCTAGCGAAACAGTTACTTTCCAAGGTGCGCGTATTTGTTGGCAGTCTGTAGTCGGATGGCCAACTAATGAGTTTCCTTCAGCCCCGAAGCAGAGGGTGCCTGGTGTCTTTTATCTAAATGCTTAAAGAGCCCATTCACCGGACGAGTTGGCAATGTTTCGACGAGCAACGACTCTGGTCCGCTAGCCCCCGGCCCCGGTTCGCTAAGAAACGAACAGTCCTGTCGTTATTTCCACCAAGTGGAAAGGTTTACGACTGTTCATCAAGATCTCGAATTGCCTCGAGTAAGCGTACCGAACTTTCCGTAGAAAGCAACTCTCGTGGGAATATGTAATTTTGCTCCGTGAAAGGTCGGCGTCGGCGTCGGCATCGGCATCGGCATCGGCGTCGAGCTGCGAATGTCCGACCAAACTTACCGTGACTCGCTTCTTGTCCTTTCGAAGCGCGTATTATACGCGGAGGACCAGGTCACCGATAAACGGGCTGTATTTCGCAAGGTTTCACCGCACGGTCACCTTCCAAAGCCAATATTTTCTCTCTCGAATCAAATTTCGTTCCTCCTCGGCAACTCTATTTTATCGTTTAACTTTCAGCACCTAGAAAATTTAGATTTACATTATTTTCGGTTTATGACTTGGAATCGTCGCCAGGGGTAAAAGTTGTTCGAGTAGCGGTGTACGAATTTCGTACGCGGTTTTCTTCGTTTACGAGGCGGCGTGACATAACGGAGTGGCTAGCCGGCGAAGCAAAGGAGGGAGAAGAAAGGTAAATGTTCCCTCTGCTTTACTCGATTCTGGCTAAAGGATCAAGAGCACGACAGTGTTTTAGCGCGCGCGCGCGAAGGTGTATAAACCCTCTTAAAGCCCATTTGCACCCTCGGGACAGGTACGTAGAACGAATTTCGATGAGACCGGGC